GCAAAGCTACACAGAGAAACCCTGTCTCGAAAAACCAAAAAAAAAAAAAAAAGAATAAGCAGTCTATACAGGATTTAAAGTATATAAATGTGTGTAACTTGTATGCAAGTGCAGCGCTACTCCCTTCTATAGAAGGGAGGGGCCTGAGTGTTCTTGAGCTTTGGTATCCAAGAGGATCCTGGGAAACATGGCAGGAAAATTGTACCTAACGCCTAAATTTGTTGTAAGGACTGAGTTAACTGGAAGCCCTCAGGAAAGCCCAGCATATAATCTTGGAATTTGTTGGGTAATTATCATGATTATCTGAAATGAAGTCTACAAGGCAGGGGGAGAGTCCCATGAAATGCATCCTCTAAGAAAACCACTAGCAGGGTTTCATAGCTTGGACTCTTAGACTGTTGTAGGAATCAAACAGATTAGGTTTGCTGTTGTAAAATGCCTTTGTCTTAGTTTTCTCATCAGCAGAGTGGGAACAGCAATAGTTTTGTTTAATTTTGCTTGGAGGCAGGGTCTCAAGCAGCTCAGGCTGGTCAGACTTGTTACATAGATACAGATGACCTTAAGCTCCTGTTTCTCCTGCCTCCACCTCTCAAGTGATAGGATTGCCAGAGTGTGCCATCACACCCAGCTCAAGAATGGTGGTATGATCGTTATTTGTGGGATTGGGGTGAGAATTGAAAATTAGTCATTATAAAGGGCCCAGATTAGTGTTTAGCACATTTAAAGAATTCAATATAATTAAGCCTTTTACATTGGGGATATAATTCCTCTTCCTAATTTTTTTTTGAGACATACTTCGTGCAGTCCAGGGTGGACTCAAACTTCTCAAATTGACTTTGTAACTGAGGGTGGCCTTTAATGCCTGATCTTCCTATCTCCACTTCCCAAGTGCAGGGATTACAGGAGCACACCCAACCCTTCCTTTATTAAAAAGGAAATGACATTCTTATGTGAGCCCAAAGTCTCTTCTATCCATAGAATTCTGAATCAGATTCTCAGATAAAGCTACACTAGGAGACTGTTGCCTGGCACCCATTTGTAAAGCCAGCCAGCACTGTGGAGGCTGGGCCAAGACACAGTGAGATCCTGTCTTAAAGTAAAAAACAAACAAACAAACAAAAGAAGACTTAAAGCACTTAAGTGACTGCTTTCTGATTGGATTTAAGACCTCCGTGAGATGAGATGGAACCCATGCCATTATCAGGGCACCCACACCATTATCAGGGCACCCACACCATTATCAGGGCACCCATACCATTATCGGGGCACCCACACCATTATCAGGGCACCCATACCACTATCAGGGCACCCACACCACTATCAGGGCTAAGGACCTGTGGCTAGAAAGGTCACAGGCCCTGGGGAAGAACCTACTACTATCATGCTAAATAGGCAGAGTAATTAAATGACTAGTGTCTTTTATCTGTACCTGTAGATTAGAGAGCACTTCTCATCCTTCAACAGAGAAGCTTCCTGAAGCAGAAGAGAGTTAATATCAACACCTACAACTGATCAACACAGAGAACAAGAGACTTCAAAGTGATCTGCCCTAAATAGGGTCTGTATCACACTTCTGCCCACAAGGCTAAAGAACTGAAAGAGGGGGTGAAGGATTGAAAGAGCCAGGGGCAGTGGATGACTATAAGGAAGCTGTTTTCCGGATACAAGGAAATTGCATACAATGAACTCACAGCGATTGTGACAGCATGCACAGGATGTTCAGGCTTGACAAAATTCCAATCTGGGTGCTGGGGCAACAAAGTCCCACTCCCAGCTAAGGAGCTGTTGGCATTGAATAGCTACTAGGAGAGAAAAGTCGGTTCTCTTTCAGGATATGTCCTCTGGTAAGTCGACCAGACTCCAGGGCAGGCCCCACACTTAATAGTGCTGCTCTTCTAGAGGACCTGGGTCGAATTCCCAGCACCTACATGGAGACTCAAGACATGTATAACTCCAGTCCCGAGGGATCCTACGCCCTCCAGCAGACACCACACACGTGGTGCACATACATACAAAATACCCATACACATAAAATTAATAATAATAATAATAATGATAATAAGTTTTCAATTAAAATAAAGTAACATTAACAAAACCTTAAGTGGCTCAGGGTGCTGTAATGGCGGCAGCGCATGTGGAAACCGAGGGGAGGGACCTCCATGGCACGCTCAATAGAAGAATCACTACCCCAGCCCTCTCTGTAGTCTCCCTTCCGAGTTAAATAGACAGCTGAGCCTGGTATCTATTCTAGGAATCTGAAAGTAAAAAACGGACCAAGAAGGCTCCTGGGAGTCTCCTAAGGGCTTCCACCAGTTCCAGCCCGAAAACACCGGGCAGTCTGGCCAGCGCGTCCCGCGCAGCAGTCGCTCAAAGTGGAGGCATTTGTCACTGCAAAGTGCACCCGCCCCCTCACCAGCGTCTCAGGGCTGCCCGCAGAGATGGGGCGTGTCAGGGGCAGGATCAGGGCAGGCCGACGAGCCCCCTTTTGCTCCGCCCCCAAAGCTTTGACAACACTCCCCGCGGCTGCTGGGGAATAAGAGGAACAGGAAGGGGAGGAGCTGTTTTGTGGCTGGCTGCTGAGTGATCAGTCAACCACAACGAAGGGTAATCGACTGTATCCAGCGCTACCCGGGGGCCCGAGTGCCAGCTAGGGCCTCGGCCTGTGGGGCCTGGAGGGGTGATCCGGTCCTGTCTACGAAGCCTGGCAATGCCCCACCACCGAGTGTCATCTGGCCAGGGCCACCTCAGAGCCGGCTGGGAGCAGAGGCTGGAGAGGTCCTTACCGGCACCCAAGTTGGGACTCGTTTGGATGGGGCTGGGCCTGGCGCTAGTGCTGGTTCTGTTTGACTGCATGATTCTCTGGTCTCCTGCCAGAGCGTATCCTCTTCCTGCCCAAGGACATCCCTTCAAATCCAATGCTATAGTGCCCCTGCTTCAGAATGCCTTTGGGTGGCAGAACCTCACCTGCCCCGCCTGCAAAGTCTTATTCACCGCTCTAAACTACGGGCTGAAGGTGAGCGGTTGCGGTTGCGGTGGAATGCGGGGAGGGGGGTGGGAGGGGGGCGGCGGGGAGGGTAAGGAGAACCGATATGCCCCGGGGTCCAATATATTCCCTATAGAATAGGGTGCTTCCTGTGTATACATGTTATACATGTTAACCACTACCCTATTGTGGCTTTTCTTTTGTAAAGTAAGAGTATAGACCGTGCCTTGAGAGAGCCAGCTAGCTAGTCCTAGGCTTGAAATGATACTGGACCCTGAGCTAAAGATTAGGTAGGTGACAGCCTGGTGCTACCTGAGTCGCAGGGCACTATGTAGGAGGCACTGAGGCCTCTTTGTCATGGTGACACTGAGTTCCTCCTAGCCCCGATTTAGACATGGAAGCCTGTGGAGTGGTGGCCGGGGTTCACTTGCTCTGTCTCTGACCTCTCATCACCGGTTCCTTCCACCACAGAAGGAGCCCAATGTAGCACGGGTAGGCTCTGTGGCCATCAAGATGTGCAAGATGCTGAACATAGCACCACTAAATGTGTGCCAGTCAGCTGTCCATCTCTTTGAGGATGATATGGTGGAGGTATGGACACGTTCAGTTCTGAGCCCATCTGAAATTTGTGGCTTGCTTCTGGGCCCCTCCTGTGGACACTGGGACATCTTTTCAACCTGGAACATCTCTTTGCCATCAGTGCCGAAGCCACCCCCCAAACCACCGAGCCCACCAGCCCCGGGCGCTCCTGTCAGCCGCATCCTCTTCCTCACTGACCTACACTGGGACCATGACTACCTGGAGGGCACAGATCCTAACTGTGCAGATCCACTCTGCTGCCGCCGGAGCTCGGGTTGGCCACCCAACTCCCAGGCAGGTGCTGGTCACTGGGGCGAGTACAGCAAGTGTGACCTGCCCCTTCGAACTCTGGAGAGCCTGTTGAAAGGGCTGGGCCCTGCGGGTCCTTTTGATATGGTGTACTGGACAGGAGACATCCCTGCCCATGATGTCTGGCAACAGTCTCGCCAGGACCAGCTGAGGGCCCTGACCACCATTACAGAACTCGTGAGGAAGTTCGTGGGGCCTGTGCCGGTGTACCCTGCTGTGGGCAACCACGAGAGCACTCCTGTCAATGGCTTCCCTCCCCCCTTCATAAAGGGGAACCAGTCTTCACAATGGCTCTATGAAGCCATGGCCAAGGCCTGGAAACCCTGGTTACCAGCTGATGCCCTTCAGACCCTCAGGTACTTACTGCCCATGGAAACCCAGGAAGGGAGCGGAAAGATGGACGAGGGCAGAGGGAGGAGGGAACTGGGTAGACTCTGCTCTAACAAGTGCCCTTCGCACTCCCCACCGCCCTCCCTAACCTGACCCCACCTTCCCTTTCTTATCTCCAGCCACCCTCTTTTCAGAGCTAGCAGCGCAACCTCACCACACCCCAGCTTGTGTCTACTTAGGGTGGCTCTCTCTTGAAAATGAATTCCCTTCCCCTTTGAATATCTCCCATTTTTCTCACCCTGACCAGGCTCACAGCATCTTCCCTCAGAAAGGCCTTTGCTCTCTGGCTTCTGTGAATCCCTTGTCCTGAATTCCTGGAGCCCTCAGGACTCTGGGCTTCTTTACTCAGAGGAGCCCTGTAATTACTGCTGCTTTGGTCTTCAGCTAGGAGGGGAGCTCCCGGAGGTGGGAGAGGACATCACGTGTGCCTCTGCCTGGCACAGGACCAGGCGTGCAGGACTAGGATTGCCCTAGTATTGACACCTCTTGCTTACTTTGTTTCAGAATTGGGGGCTTCTATGCCCTTACCCCTCGCCCTGGCCTCCGCCTCATCTCTCTCAATATGAATTTTTGTTCCCGTGAGAACTTCTGGCTCTTGATCAACTCCACAGATCCGGCTGGTCAACTCCAGTGGCTGGTGGAGGAGCTTCAGGCTGCTGAGAACCGAGGAGACAAAGTAAGGGGGAGTGTGATGAACCCTGTGGAGTAGGTGCAGTGGGGGTTGGGAAGAGGCAGGCGGCTGTGGAGCCAAGACCTGTCAACAGGGACGGGAGAGTGTCACTTCACTTCCTGGAACTCCAATGTTCCCTGGGGTCCACGGTCACCCTCTGATGACCTTCATATCCACCCAAGGCTGTCTGGATTCCTCAGTGCTCTGATAACTCCCATAATTCTCCTTTCAGGTGCATATAATTGGCCACATTCCTCCAGGGCATTGCCTCAAGAGCTGGAGCTGGAATTATTACAAAATTATAGACAGGTAAAAGATAGAGGGCTCGGATGTAGAGACTGAAGTGTTGAAATCCCCTCAAGAGCAGGGTGTGACCTTGTGAGTTCACCTTGAGGCAGAGCAGGTGATCTCTGTGAGTTCAAGGTCAGCCTGGTCTACAAAGTGAGTTCCAGGACTTCCAGGGCTGTTACACAGAGAAACCCTGTCTGGGGCGGAGGGAAAGGAGAGAAGCAATTTCCTCAAGCACCTCACAATCTTCACCTTCTCCATGGAGCGGAGGAACTATTAAACACGTTGGAGAACGACCACCCTAACTCCCCAGATCTACCCACCCTCATTTCCGCCTCCCTACAATCTTCTAATGTCACTGTGTCTCTGGCCAGGTATGAAAACACTCTGGCTGGTCAGTTCTTTGGCCACACTCATGTGGATGAGTTCGAGATCTTCTATGACGAGGAGACTCTGAGCCGGCCGCTAGCTGTAGCCTTCCTGGGGCCCAGTGCTACCACCTATATCAACCTTAACCCTGGTGAGTGAGGCAGAAGGGAGCGTTCCTTATCCTAAAGATGGTGTGACGGAGGGATGGAAGCCAAGGCAGGTCCTCCCCAGAGTTGCCTTCGTTCCCTTCTTTACCACTCAACCTTTCTTGCAGGTTATCGGGTCTACCAAATAGATGGAAACTACCCCGGAAGCTCCCATGTGGTCCTAGACCATGAGACCTACATCCTGAACCTGACCAAGGCCAATGCACCAAAAGCCACACCACACTGGGAGCTCCTCTACAGGGCTCGAGAAACCTATGGACTTCCAGATGCACTGCCTGCCTCCTGGCACAACCTGGTCTACCGCATGCGGGACAATGAGCAACTCTTCCAGACCTTCTGGTTTCTCTACCATAAGGGCCACCCGCCTTCAGAGCCCTGCGGCACACCCTGCCGCCTGGCCACTCTGTGTGCCCAGCTCTCAGCCCGTGCAGACAGCCCTGCTCTTTGCCGCCACTTGATGCCCAATGGGAGCCTCCCAGATGTCCATAGCTTGTGGTCACGGACCCTGTTGTGCTAGTGTTCCAGAAGCTCGTGTATTAGGAAAGGGACACATTCCTAAGCACTGTTGAGTCAACCTGGCAAAAACTTCTGGGGAAGGAGCCCTGTCAGGCCAGGGAGCAAACCTTTTCATGGAGAGCTTGTTTGGCTGGATTTGGGGGAGGGTTTGGCTGCCCTACCCATGCCCAGTATCTGGATTCCCCCTGAGGCTGATGTCTTCTCAAGGTCAGAGTTGAGGTCAGTGCTCTGAATAGCCAGACAGGACCTGTTAGCCCCAGGCCTGTGCTATCCACCTGTTAACCCTATACTGCTACCTGATCCTGCCGGGCTGTTAAATAAAGAGACTTGGACTCCAGATGACACTGTCCCAATTTCTTCTTCCCAAACAGGCAGGGCAAAGGGAGCCTGGTAGCAAGATCCCGACTAGGGAGTTCATATGAGCACAGGAAGACAAACTGCAGCGCAGACAGACTTTATTAGTGATATCAGTACAGCGGAGGTGCCCGCAGGACAGGGGAGAGGGGATCCATGCCAAGACTAGTCCCCTCCTGCCCCTGCTGGGCCTCTGAGGGTAGGACCTGGCTTGGACCAGTTCCTCCTGCTCCACCTCAAACACTGGGGATGGAGAGTCCGGGGCTGGCCTTGCTTCTGGCCACTCATGTCATCAGTCCAGTGTAATGACTTGTGTGAAGGAATTCAATTTCTCTCTCCCAGCCCCTAGGTAGGGAACCCGAACTACTGAGGAGAGGCAGCCTGGGGGACATGAGGCCTAGGAACAGCATCCAAGGCCCCTACCTGTCCCAAACCCTTGAGTTCCCTGGGGCCCAACACAAGCAGGTGGAGGAAGGATGGGAATTCTTCATGGGGTCTGGGATCCTAGACGTTTGGGCTTGAGGGAACCCCACAGCGACTGAACACCCCTGCGCACAGTCCACCCTACACGTCTTGCAACTGACTCCGCAGGGGGTGCTGGGAGGCAGGAGGTGGAGGTCTGGGAACGAGCATCCAGACACTTCTGGTAGCGGAGCTGTAGAGAAGCAAAGGGCAGTCAGTCACTCTCAGCCCCTTAAGGTCACGCTGCTATCCCACTGCCCTGCCTACTTACCATGCATGCAGCCTGCACAGCCTCTGAGAGGCTGGCAGCATTGGGCTCGCACCAAAACATGTGGCAGCAGAAGGAGGCTGGGCCGGCAGCCATGATAAATGCGAAGGTGTGCACATCTCTGCCCACAGCCAGGAAGGAGAGGAACCGCACCCGGCACTCGCCCAGCACTGCCTCTGTCTGCAGGGGAGGCACCCAGTTAAAAAGGAACATCCCCTAACCCTATTCCACTGAGGCACGCCCTTACTGCCAGCTCTTCCCCTGACTCGATGCCCCTCCACGGCAAAGCTCAGTCACACTGTCTCCTACCCCAGCCCTTTACCTGCTGGTGCAAGATGGTGAGAGTAGCGGGGGCCACGCTGACGTGACTTGGGGTCCATTGTTCACGGCTACTGGAGGACAGGACTGACTCCAGGGCCCCATTAATCACATCCACCCCTGGAAGGTACACAAACATGCAGGACTTAGGGTAGAAGAGAGCCCGGCTCTGCCTGTCAAACTCAGGGGCCAGCTGCATTCCCATCTCACCAGCCTGTGGCCAGAGGATGCTGCCTGCTGTTTACTCCTGGGCACTCTCCTCCTTGACTTCAGTGACCCCTGATCCTTTCTTGCGTTTCCTATCCTGAATCTCCAGCTTGGTTTTCTTCACTGATTGTCTCTTCCTTCAGCCCCCTAAATGGACAGATCCCTCCCCCACGGAGTTCTGACTTCCCCACCCAGTTATCGTGGGCATTCAAACATTACATGGCTTCTTTCATACAATAGTGGCTTCCAATCAGCCAGGCTAGTCCTCTCTCCCCAGACCCAAACTTTTTTTATCTTTAATTTTTTTATTATTTATTTATTGTATGTGCATGAGGGTCAGAGGGCAGCCTGCAGGAGTCAGTTCTCTCCTTCCACCAGGTGGGTCCAGGCTTAGCTACAAATGCCTCTACCTGATGATCCCCTCCCGACCCTGTCTCTTGTTTTTTTTTTTTGTTTTTTGTTTGTTTGTTTGTTTGAGTTGGGTTGTGTGCTGTTTTGTTTGAGACAGGGCTTCACTGTGAGTTCAAAACCTGGTCTAGATATGGAGTTCAGGCCAGGCAAAGCTAATAGTGAGACCGTGACATGGAAACAGAAGGAGTTGGGAAGAGGAAGAGGCTCCGTAACTGGGGCTGGCTGCAGTGGTGAACAACTTCCAGCACTGTGGAGGCACAGACAGGTAGACCTCTGTGAGTTTCAGTCCAGCCTGATATACACAGTGAGTTTCAGGACAGCCAGGACTATGTAGAAAAACCCTATCTCAAACCAAAAACCAAAAACCAAAACCAAAACCAACACACACACACACACACACACACATCCATCCATCCATCAATCAATGAGTTCAAAAGGAATGGGAGAAGAAGAGATGGTAATAGAGATAAATATGAACAAAATGCATTATACACATGTATGGAAATTCCATAGTGAAACTCATTATGTATAACTAGTACATGCTGATTAAAACATTCAAATAAAAGCAAAATAAAACGCTCTCTTTAGGAATGGTGGTCCATATCTACAATCTCAGCACTTCTCAGAGACAAACTATACATAGTGAGTTCCAGGCCATTCACAGCTACATTGCAAGACTTTGTCTCAAAAACCAAAATCAAACAATCCCATAATGGTCTTCTCCACTTTAAACTACTTTTAAACACCTATAAAATCCTAGACACAAAAGGCAGGGTCAGGAGGATCACCACAAGTGCAAGGCCAACCTAGTCTAAACAACTTTCAGTAAGAGCTACTTGTAGAGACAGGTGTGCATGTGTTGGGGGAGGAGGGTGTTTAGATTTGAGTGGGAAGGATGTCCTGAAGGACAGTCTGTGACTAACAGCCAAGTCTCCAAATGCCCTTTTCCAGTGCCCATCTTAGTACTCCTGATTACCATCCTAGGTCTCACCTGAGAAGCCTTCTCCAGGGCACAGGAAAGACACTCTCTTTTGTTGTTGCTGTTTCAGGGTTTTGTTTTTTCCTTTTAAAGTGTTTTTTGTTTGTTTGTTTGTTTGTTTGTTTGTTTGTTTGTTTGTTTGTTTGGTGTGTGTGTGTGTGTGTGTGTGTGTGTGTGTGTGTGTGTGTGTGTGTAGCCCTAGCTGTCTTGGAACTTGCTGGTCTCAAACTCACAGATTCACCTACCTCTGCTTCCTGAATTCTGGGATTAAGATGTGCACCAACACACCAGGCTGCAAAGATAACTCTTATCAAGGTATCTTGTAACTGAGGAAACTCTCTTTCTAACAATGGACTATGGTTATCTCAAGGACAGAAAGGAAATGCAACTGGATTCTGTTTCCTAGTCTTCACATGGTTTATTTGCTGAAGATTCCAGATACACAGGAATGGTATCTGAAATGGTACACTAAAGGCAGCATGGACAAATGCATGGAAATGGAAAGTAATAACGCAGGAATGCACAAGAGGATGACGACACAGGAAGAAGCAGATGGGCCAAGTCACGCTGCGAGGGCCTCAAAAGCGAGGCAGAATGGTGTGATGTCTACGACATTTAAAATGAAGCAATGGGAAATTTCAAAGTTCATGGGGGTGGGAGAGTCACCAAAGTCAAACTAAAGAATATGCAGATGATCTCAGGGTGGAACCTGACTTCCTGAGTCCGCAGAGGATTCAGGGAAGTGATCTAGAAAAAGGCAGCTGGTTGGGTGTGGTGACGCACGCCTTTGATCCCAGCTGTTACGAGGCAGAGGCAGGTGGATCCCTGAGTTCAAGGCCAGTCTGGTCTACAAAGAGAGTTCCAGGACAGCAAGGACTACACAGAGAAACCCTGTCTTGGAAAAAAAGAAAAGAGGGAGAGAGGGAGAAAGGGAGGGAGGGAGGAGGGGAGGAGGGAGGGAGGAGGGGAGGAGGAAGGGAGGAGGGGAGGAGGGAGGGAGGAGGGGAGGAGGGAGGGAGGGAGGGAGGGAGGGAGGGAGGGAGGGCAGCTGAATTTCATAGCTCAGGGTTGAAAACCTGCACTCCTTATTCTTCTGTGCATTTTTTCCCCCATACCAGTTGTCCCTTTCAAATATACTAGGCAATGTACTCCTTACTGTTTATCTCTCCTTGCTAGAATGTGATCCACTCAAAGGCCAGAACCATAGTCAGTGCTGTTCACTGATATACACTAAGAATACAAGTAAGGTATACAAGAATAATCTACTGAATAGATGGATGAACACCGTAGCTTCAGGGGGAGGACAGTGTTTACAAAAGGGGAGTGGGATAAAGGAAGTACAAGGTTGGCAAGATAACTCGAAAGACTTGCCTCTCAAGCCTGATGACCTGAGTTTAATTCCCAGAACCCACATAAAGGTGGAAGGAAAAAAGTGACTTCTCAAGTTGTCCTCAGACTTCCATAGGTGAACACACACACACACACACACACACACACACACACACACACACACACACACACACACACATTTTAAAGGAGTACAGATATAAAGGAAGAAGTAACCTAAGAACCCACTGGTCCAAAAGCCCTGTCTTTACAAGGGCAGACCCATGGGAACTGACAGGGTAGTCAAAGATCGCTTCGGCATTGTGGGGTCCTGTGTACAGTGCCAAGTGAAATGGAACAGTCATGGGTTGGGGCTGATAGTCGGAAGAGCCAAAGAGGTTTAGAAGTGTGGGTAAGAAGGAAACCAAAGCCAAGCAAGTCCCTGGGTCAGCTACCCTTTTCTGTTCTCTGAGAACCTGTTTTCACCTCCAGCTCCAATCCTGTTCATTCATTCCTTCTTTCTTTCCTTCCTTTCTTCCTCCCATTTTGGTTTCTTTTGGAAGCAAGGTCTTACTATGCAGTCCAAGCAAACCTCAAGTTCACATTCCTCTTTCCTCTGCCTCTCAAGAGCTGGGATTGCAGGCATGCTCCAGGATGTTGGGACATCCATCATTCCTTGGAGTCCTCTCCTTCCCTCCTCCCACCTCTTTCCTGCTCTCACTGTCCTGGAAGCAGCATTTTCCTCCACTCAAACATTAAATACTGGAAGACTACAAAGGCAGGCCTAATCTATTTTCCCTTTCACTTTGGGCTGCCCATATTCTGGTGCCAACCTCCTCCTGCTGTCTCTAAAACCTAATGATGCCCAAACTTCTATCTCAAATCCAGATCTCTGCTCTCAGTTTACGGATAAGACTGATGAACCTAGCTGCCAGACTCCCACTTACTCTGTCCAAAGGTACGCTGAATTTGGCATATTTAAAACTGAACTCACAATCCCCATACCAAAACT